CATGAAGTTTGTTATGTCCAGAGTATTTTTTGTCCAAACGTGTTACCGTTTTTGTCGTGAACATGAGAAAACGGGCATGAAAGGATTTTTATGCTGTGTCTATATTTACTAACATGTTTGAACTGTATTTCAGCATTTTACCCCCTATCTATCCTTCAGCCAGTTTGCACGCTTCATAAAGAAATTAATAAAGACATCTTAAACCTTCTAGGAAACGTAAAGAATTTCAGAAGAGTGGCTGCTTTGCTAGAGAACAGTGTACCAATCTGCATAAAGGTAACTATGAAGTTGTCCCTACGGTTAATTTATCAAGGACAGCTTCATGTATAAGTCCAGCATTCTTGACCTCGGCACTAGTTGCGTGTGAGTGGTCAGCTTCACGCCTCAGTCGCTTTACCCATAGGGAAAGAGTCCCCGGTACCCACTAGGGAATTTGTGTTGGTCCCAGAGCTGGTCTTGATGTTTAGCAGAGAAAAATCTGTAGCACCTGCTGGGAATCGAACCCCCGATGTACAGCCCATAGATTGTCACCATGTTGACTGGACTATCCAGGCTCCTTGCGAATCTGCCTTCAATATTTAATTAAAGTGATTTCTCTCTGCACTGCGGTCAGTGATGTGTTAGATGTTCTTTTACTGTTTATGGAATTGATTGTGTAGTGAGAGAACCGTATTCCAGTATATAGATAGGCAAATCTAAAGGCAATTTTCATGTTGGACGAAACATGCAGCAGATATACTTCTCAAGATGTCATGTGAGTAATACCGCCCCACACTACACAGCCCCTATGCACTGAAACTCTGGATAAAGTGTTACACCATGTGTTTCAGAAGGGTTGTACTGTCCACTGACCTTTGATGGCCTCTCATGTTGGAACTACACTCTAGCTGGAGAGACAGCAGTCCTGCCTTGCCCTTACTTTGTTACTGGCTTCGATCCCCGAAGTAAGTGTACCGCGAGGCGAGGTACTTCTATGAGACAGTCGATGATAGTTCATCATGATGTAAATAGAGAATGATGTAAAATTAAGTTATATTAATTTTTCAGCTAAAATTGCCTGTACTTATGTAACCTTTTGACTTGTTCTGTATCCAAAGGTACTAACCTACTTAGGATTTAGAGAATGTAAATAAATTCAATTCAATTCAATTCAATTCAATTCAATTCAATTCAATGTCTCAAGAGAAAGGAAAGTAACTAGCTTATGCAAAGAGCAGAGCCCTTGAGGAGAAGATAGCCAGTCTGCCCCTTCCAGAACCTGATGATTCATTACCATATGCCAAAGAGCCAGTCCACACTGCATTTCTTTGAGAGCTATTTTTATATTACTCTCTGATCGATGTCTGTGGTCTCCTTTAAATCATGTTAGTTTCATATCCAATACTGTTCATTTGACCTCTATTATTGATGCTGGGATCCATTACCAGGCAATGAGTGGTGAAGACATGCAAGAATTTATGTGTATGGCAGTTGAAGTTGAAGTTGCAATGTGTTATTCTACCCCCATTATCATTAAAAATTTAAAATGGAGTCTTCTACCATATTGTCAATATGAAACTATCTTCTCCTCTGCTGGACAATAATGACCACTGTACATCATGATACTGCTACCTAAAATTTTGACAAAAACAAAACCTATATAAAGAGTTCTATTCTCTGGGACATAACGCCATGTAGTCTGTTGAAAGTCAACCTCTGTTTTGGAGGAACATGTCACCACCATTTTTAGGACAAAAGAATACATATGTCAAAGAACCAGCATGGAAGCAAGTGGCAAGCAGAGTTCTGTAATGTTGGTTGACTTTCGATGGACTATATGGCACTGTATCCCAGAAGAGAGAACACTTCACAACTGCTGCTGTGGAAACCTCAAATCCTACAAAAACTATATAACCTGATTATTCATAGTAAGGATCCTCCAGGCTCGTTTGTGTGATCTGGTACACTTTCAGGGTCAGCATTTCGACACTGCATGGAGGATGGCAACTGGTTTCAGCACCCCGAGTCAGGCTTCAGCTGGTCAAATTACACAACGTGTGTTGACATGGAAGACTTGGAGGTACAATTGGAAGCATCTTACTTTGTGGACACAGACATCAGCTGTATGCCATGACCTGGTCCCCCTTTTCCCTATATTCATACTACTTTTCCCCATGTTCAGCCTACTCATCTACCCTGAAGACAGAGGAAACACCATACACTTGTAATGTTCACTAGACTACATGATGCCATAACTCAGAAGAAAATACTCTTGATTTTGACTTTAAGTAGATTACTCTAGTTGGGTTTAAAGTTGACTCAGATTACTAGTTATATAAGTCAATGCATTAAATATACCAAAACAATTTTGGAATTAAACATTAACTTGGCAATGGAATTTCTTCCATGTCACAAATATCGATTATACTGCCATATCATATTCTTGAAATATGTGTGGCATTTCATCCACCACAAATGCAATGCTGTGTCATCAATCATCAGATTTAATCACCAGAGGTTCATTTGTGAAAACAAGGCATGAAGTGTAAAGGTGAGGTTGGAGTTCAGTCAGTAAAGGTTCTGTAGGGTGACTCACAACCCTGCTTATAGCAACATGTTAAAGTATACTTCACTTAACTCTACTTATGCAGGTACGTGTAACTCACGTTGGAGCAAAATTAATGGACAATATGTATGCCTACTATTCCCACTAATAAGTATGCAACACATAGCTTTACTTATTTTTGTTTCTTTCCCTCTCACACACATATTCTTGCAGTGTAGTATATGGATACAAGCATTACAAACACTGACTGCACAACTCTCATCTGTGTAAGTCAAAACTTCCCTCAGTTTTGTTACTATTATGATTTCACCACTTTTAAGTTTCAGTAAAGAAGCTGTAATTCATGTTAACTTCAGTATGGTTCATCTTAGCCATTTGTAAATAAGATTTTTCTTTAGACAAATGGTTTTATTTTCAAGTCTTCACTAAAAGAGTTGAATCATGACAAGTTGTCAGAAAAAATGTTGATGTGAAATTTGTGAGTTGATGGATACCTCTGCTGACCTGTGTGGCTCATTGTTCTTCCTATACAGTTCCGGCAGCTGGTCAACACTCTGTACATGGCTGGCTACCTCATCTCTGTGGTGGCCCTCTGTCTCTCACTGACCATATTCTTCTCCTTCCGGTGAGCTATATCTCAAACCTATGAAAAATAAAATCTTCATCATGAAGAACTTCATATGAATCTGCATTTTATCTTCTGCACAAGTATTATTTCAAATTTTATGTACGTAAAAGACATACCCAACAACTGACGGCAGATTTCAAATGTGATGGGAAGTTAAAAACATATTTCTGGCATGAGTTACTAATATAATAAATAAACTAATTATGAGCAGACTGAAGAATGACATATTTTCCAGAAATTACTCATAGAAAGAGGATTCCTCATTATTCTAATAGATGTTAAGGCAAACGGCAATAACATTTATATTATGTGCTAAGATACTGATGAACTGAAACATTAATGCCATAATATTAAGAAATTTAAAATACCCAATTACTTAATTTATTTTCTGCATTTGTTATTGTTTTTGTTGTTACTTAATCACAAAAAAACATTTAATTGGAACTTCAGCTTGACCTAAATTCAATCAGTGGTTTTGCTGTGATATTGCCATATTCTCATCTGTGAAAATGGAATGTTGTTACGGTAATATGAGGTTGGCATTAATACAACAGATACTTTAGCAGATGTTTGCCAGCAACTCTAATACCTCCAGCAAGCCATACAGTTTAAACTTCTACTCTCTGCAGGTCTCTGAAATGCACACGGATATCTGTCCATGTGCAGCTGTTCCTCTCATTTGCCTCCAACAACATCATGTGGCTGGTATGGTACAAGTATGTCATAGCTGACCCGATCATTGTGAAGGAAAATGCGGTAATGCCAATATAACATATCTTGTTTACAGTGCCTACAAGTTGTAAATAAGCAGTTTGAACACAAACTTGTAATTACTCATAAAAGACCATGTTCAACTCTTTCTTATTCACAACATATTTCGACCATCTCGTGGTCATGATCAGGTGAAACGCATACACATTAATGAAAGGATCAATTATTGTGTATGATCCATGCAAATATAGCATAAAATTCTAAGTAAAATATGTTACAATTTGTGTAATTACTAATACAACATAGAAAGATCAAAGTAAAATTCTACATCTGTGTAGGTCTTCATATGGCTGTCACGATCGCATTAAATTTCTAGGGTTATTGGTATGTTCCAGGGATTCAAATCTTACTTTATTGAAATGAATACCTGACAATAATGAAAATTCTTTTCAATGATCCATTTTCCACTGTTTAGTTTTGTTTCTTGGGGAGTCAATTTATTGCAATACTATAAAGAAAAACAGAAACTGACAATAATTCAGGCAGTGACATAGATAAGACCTAGAAATTTTATCCAACAAAATGAAATATAGGAGATGAAAATTTTCACACCTCAAAGCTTATATTATGGTTACAGATTATGAAGATTTTTCTAACAATGGAAAACTCATTGAAGTAACTAATTCTTTTTACAAAAATTTGTTGTTGTTTAGAAAAATGAAGGAGCAACTTCCTCCCATTAAACATATTTCACTAGATGCCTGTTAATAATCCTTTAGTTTGGGAGCAAATCCAACATAGTATCAAATACTTCGCTGATGCTGACCCAAACACTATGCGAATTTCATATGAAAACTAACTTTTTAATGAATTTAATCATGTTAGAAATATAAATGAAAACAAAATTAAAAATGCATCTTTTGAAAGATGGTTTTGAGTATTTTAGTTTGTTCAAAGTGAAGACATTTCAGTATATTTACATTTATTTTCACTTCAGAGATCCAATCACCTCCCCGTAGCGCTGGATATAAAACATGTCACACATTACAAATTCATGATGACTACACATCATATGCCCTTTGTCCAATAGAGTACATAATCAGACCTCAGCACAAGTTGTCAAGACAACACACATAGGCCATGGGGAAACCACTGTCACATTCAACCCTGAACAAAATCCCTCATATTTCCAACCATAACAACTCTATGCTGCGCAATTGCACACCTTGCCATTCCACACACATTGGCCAGCCATATCATCAATACAGTTTCAGTGTAACATTAAAAATTCATAACAAACACAGACATACACACTTACAACAAGCAAGTCTCAACAACGTATTGTAACTTGTTTTGAGTTTCTGATCTTGTTTGTCACGTGTGTAACTTCATAACCACGTCTGACACCAGTGTCACGTGTCTCGAGTTCGAATCCTGTTGGTCACGTGTGTAAGTCCAATCCGTGTAACTTGTTTCATTACTGAAGACACCTTTCGGATTGTTAATTGGTTTATTTAACAACCTACAAATCTCGGCTACAATTAATTATGACACAGTTGCGGGGTTTCACACTTTATAACCCTATTCGCAATAATCTGTTCACACTGTTGAGGGGTTTCACACTTTATAACCCTATTCGCAATAATCTGTTCACACTGTTGCGGGGTTTCACACTTTATAACCCTATTTGCAATAATCTGTTCACACTGTTGCAGGGTTTCACACTTTATAACCCTATTCGCAATAATCTCTTCACTCTATCTTCAGTAGTCTACACGTATTCACAGTACGGGAGCTATGTAAGTGTCCCTGTATCACACAATTACACACATGTCCGGTTCTTCTTTCCGCGACTGCTGCTATACTCCAACTGTGTCACTGCTGACCACACACTGACTGACTACTGACTCACTTCCAACTGTCTTTGGCGGCTATGTGGTTCCCTTATATAGTCGCAGTGTTTGCCTGTTACGTAATGGGTACTGCTGTTGCCTGACGCCCTGTCACAGCTGCGTTGCGTGTCTCGTCACAGTAGGAAGCGGTGCCACATAGCCCGACGAGGCTACGTCACCGTGGCCANCCAGAGCTGACACGTCACTCCTGGGGTAGAGGGGCGGGGTGTTGACTTGCCTATTACTATAGTAACAACAGCGCTACAATGCGCCACGTACTGCTGGGGAGGGAGGGGGGTGTCCTCCATAGCGCAACACATCACAGTATAATACAAGCACTCAGACCATTTATTAACTCTTAACTTTTGAGCCCCTTGCATGCTCGACAAATTCATCAGTAGAGTAAAATGAGTTACTTTGCAAATAATTTAGTAAAACAAACCTAAATTGATTTTTATCATTTTTTAAAGCTGATATATTTGACCGCAGAGTGTTAAATAGCTTGACGTCTGAATAATACACTCCTCTCCGATAGGATGATAAATGTGTTGTATGTATATGAAGGTGGTCATTCCTTCTTGTACCAGTCATATATACAGAGTTATTGGTCTGAAACTTGCCCAAATTATTAACAACAAATGTCATCAATGAAAGCAAATATACATATGGGATTGGCAGTATGCCAAGCTTCTTAAATAGGCCTCTACATGTTTGAGTTGGGCCCACTCCCATCATTATTCTCATTATTTTCTTTTGCATAACAAAAACCTTGTGACTGTCACAAGTATTTCCCCAATATATTATCCCATATTTCACAAATGAATGATAATACGCATAATATAGAGCTTTAAGATCCTTAATATTTAATATAAAAGATAATTTTCGCATTAAGAAACCAACTGTGCTCAACTTTTGAAGCAAAAAATCTATATGTCCCATACAAGTCAGATGATTGTCCAGCTGAAAACCAAGAAATTTTATCGTTTCTACTTCTTTCAGTGTTTTGCTTATAACTGTAATGTCAGAATTTAATTTTAATTAACCTAAATCACATTTTTTCCCTCATGCCATAATTAAGTTGCCTTAGGGTGGAATCTAAATTCTGAAAGTTACTGTGTTCTGCGATGTGACACCATGTAATTTGGTAGCGATTTGAAAGCAGGAATATTCATAATTACCACTGTGAGAACTATAAATCTCACATTCTGTTCCGTTTCCTGGTTCCAGTTATGGTGCCAAGCACTGCATGTGTTGCTACAGTACCTCATGGTAGCAAACTACACGTGGATGTTCTGTGAAGGCTTGCATCTACACCTTGCATTGGTTGTAGTTTTTGTGAAAGACCATCTTGTGATGCGCTGGTTTCATGCCATAGGCTGGGGGCTGCCACTCATCCTCACACTCATATATGCTGGTGTACGGGGATCAAGTCCAGATGATGCACAACGGTACACACATTTGTTGTAATAAGACAAAACTCCAACCATATTAATTATTTGTATTAAGGGGATAGTACAAAAGTAATAAGAATAAGTAAAACTAAAAGAGACCATCTTGTGATGCGCTGGTTTCATGCCATAGGCTGGGGGCTGCCACTCATCCTCACACTCATATATGCTGGTGTACGGGGATCAAGTCCAGATGATGCACAACGGTACACACATTTGTTGTAATAAGACAAAACTCCAACCATATTAATTATTTGTATTAAGGGGATAGTACAAAAGTAATAAGAATAAGTAAAACTAAAAGAGAAATAGAATTACATAATGCGGAATTTTGTTGTGAGACACACGAGTCATACACCAGAATGACACCAATCTGCAGTGCTGCATTGCAGGTGCTGGATGGAAGACAGCCATACACAATGGATCCTAACAGCTCCAGTGCTCATCTCCATGCTGGCAAGCACAGTATTCCTGGTGAATGTAGTTCGTATCCTGCTCACCAAACTACACAGTGCATCAGCCAACCCAGCACCGGTCGGCATGCGGAAGGCAGTAAGGGCCACACTTATCCTGGTACCACTGTTTGGGATCCATCACATTCTCATTCCATTCCGACCAGAACCAGGACAGCCTGGGGAGCAGATCTACCAGGTTTTCTCTGCTGTGGTTGTCTCACTACAGGTGAGAATGCATGTACTTGTGAAAATGGCTTCAGAGTTGTATCATCTGCTATTTGTATATGCAAGTAAATATTGTAGCATGTAGACCTGTTCTCGAGTAATGACTCTGTAAATAATGACCGTTGCTAGGCATTGGCTGCAATAATAGAAGAGCTGTGTTTTCAATGTGGTCCATGCCAAAGCCACACAAGGTGTAGAGTTCAGTTGAGTGGAGTGGAGTGAAGTGAAGTGAGTCGGTCGGTCAGTGAGTGAGTGAGCAAGCTAGAGGACTGATGCAGTTCAGTCCATGAGAGCTGTTGCTGTCAGAAGCTGGTGGCTGAGGCATGGGGATAGTTCAGGAGCCCAGAGTAAGGGGAATGTCCGCCCTTGGAAGCTGCTACCAAGCAACGTCTAATGAAGACGTGACTGTGGACGCTAGTCTGTGTGTGATAAGTGATTTGTAGTCATCAGTTGTGTAAGAGTCAATAAATCTGATTACCAATCTAAATCCAGTCTATAGTCACTCTAGAGGGTAACAATGTTTCAAAATATTGGGAAGTGAACAATGGACTAAATGAACCTAAACATAATAGTGACATTTCCTCCAAACTAGAAATGCAGAGCATTTCTTGACCTTCAAAACCTTCATACATTTCGAGCAGGGAGCAACACAACTCATTGTAAGCCACTTACTCACGTCAGTGCTTTTCACTTTGCCATCAGAATCAACCCCCCCACCATGCCTCATGTGTGCCAAATTTCTTATGATGGCTCTAGACTCTGTCTAAAACATCTCTGTAGTTACATCATTCTTGAAGTATGTAACCTTGTGCAGAATGCTTCTAGGGATGATCAATTATTAAACTGAACAATTTAATATGAGCCTTCATAAAATCAGTATCATTATATCTGTACATAATGTCAATACTTATGATTGGCCACAGTGACATGGTGGAGCTGGTATAGTTCAGCTGGTATAGCAACCGGCTATGGGCTGGACAACCAAGGTGTCGGAGTTCGAATCCCAGTAGTGTCAAGTATTTTCTCTTCTCCACATCTGGGGCTCACCCAGCCTCCTATCCAATGGGTACTGGGGGCTCTTTTCCCCAAGGGAAAAGTGGTAGGGGCATGAAGCTTGCCGCTCACTCCCAACTAGAGCTGAGGTCAAGAAAATATGGATCTATACATCCACTCCCCCATACACCTTAATGGCTTAGTGCTTAATTACTTAAGCACAGGGACAACTTCACCTTTTTTACCTTCACCAGAGTGACATGGTGCAGGACATGAAGGTGTGTCAGGCAGTAAGGCAAAGAGGTTTCATTTGAGGTTCTCTCGGCAGTGACTATGAAGAGTATTATTTTCTGGGATGTGACAACATGCAGTTTAGCAGAAATTTACTAATGTTTCATGGGAATGTACTGCCTCCATCCTCAGGGTAGAGGTGTAACCCAAACATGCAACATGCAAAGCTTGTTGTCTATTTGGCATACTCTTCAGACACATAGATTGGGGCAGCACATTCCACTCAACATCAATAAACCCATACCCAGAAGACAGTTCTCTGCTAAACAGGGGAGTATTTATGTTGCACCCTTTATATTCCGAAGTGGCATTACCTAGCACAGTACTTCTCTCCTCAACTATCCTCAAATCAGTAACATTAAAGTCTGATTTGGGGTTTAATTAAAGTATATATCAAGTCAGGAAAAGCTGACATGGTATTTCTGGCACATACACCCTGTGATTGCCTCTAGATTTTAAAAATACCCAATGTATATTTATCTAAAAAACCGACCCAGAGGAAAAATGTTCTGAATATCCAACGTGTTTCACATTTTCTACAAACCTTATCTGAAATATTATTGTGCTTTCCGTGACTATACACGGGGCTTGGATTTGATTTTTAAAACTCATAACTATGAGTACAATTAATTATAGCACTATCGCTAATTCACACTCTTTACAATTTACTACAACACACACTACATCTTCTAAGTTTGCTATGTCTTCACTAGTATTCAACAGCTTCTAACAGGTTCCCACGCCTCCACTGGGGGACGACTCTCTAACAACAACCTCAGACTTGGACTGGTCTGCCTCCCTCAAACCTAACGAACTAGCAAAGTCAAAGTCAAAGTCATGTTATGACCAACGGTCAGTTGGCCAGTCAGTCTTGGTGCCAAGCCCCAGCTGGGGCTCGAGACCAGATTTACTCTACTGTCAGGCAGTTGCGAATTTGTCAATGTGTAGTGCCTCCTATGGTGACAGGGTGGGTCTAGCATTTACTGCAGGCATAGTAAGTAGTACATGTCATCTATATTTATAATTTTATATGTTGTTCTATAGAGTCAGTCAGCTATGAACAGTCTGGTTCCTTGAGGATACCTACTATTTAGAGTTTTACATGTAACTCTAGTATATATGTATGTATTATACAAGGCCTGTCAATCTAGGCTTGGCACAGCAGGTTGTGCCCTAACTCATGTAGTTCATGTTACAATGGCTACCTAGTCACTTTTAACAGTTGTACGCTTAACCACTGCCAAGCTTAAGCCTCTTACTTTTTCTGTGTTGGGTTTCGCCTTTTCCAGTGTCACCAACATTAGCATTTTCATGATCTTGTATGACTTCTGCTTGTTGCCTGCACAATTTTGTTATGTAATCATAGATATATGGCACTTGGAAAGCCATGTGCACCTTGTGGACTAATTAAATATGGGTTTTGTTTCCTGGTATATAGCTTCGAGGCAGACCCCACAAAAGACACAGCCTGCACAAGCTCTATTGTGTGTGTGTGTGTGTGTGTGTGTGCGCCTGTTATTATGGTCATGAGAGTTGGAAGCCGTGGAAAAGTGTTTACTGAGCCATTCCCTATCAATCAAAATCTCTTCTGGTTCTGCTATCACAGCTTTGAACAGACATGTCACAATATTTTTCATTCCAATAAATATTTTGTGAGTTATGCTCTAAAGGCATGCAGCAAGCATGTAGGTCTTTAGTTATAGTACCTGTTACTGTCTGAATTTAACCAAATTTAAAATTTTTATATAGTAAAACTCCCTGCATCAACATTCACAGAAGTCTGTCCAGTAGTTATCAGTTCGTTTCATGTGAAGAGACAACAAATGCAGCAAATTCAGTAGGTGCTCTGCAGATATGCAACAGTGCCTAATAAAACAGGAATATGACCTTTACAGAGAATGAATGTGAACCATTTCATATAGGTTACAGTACTGCAAACTATCAACATAAAAATAATATGAACCAACAAAACTGTCAAAGTTGATGAAATTGAGTAACTAACCTAAATTCTAGTAGTGGCATTTCTTGAAAGCACAATGCAGAGGATATGGAGGCAACAACATGTAAGCAGAATCTTGGTTTTAGCAATACTTTTCTCTACAACTAATACCAACATGTGGTTGGTCTTATTAAAACATTAACCTAAATCATACCTCATGCATCCCGGTTAAGAATGGGCCTCAATTATGATAACAAAGATTTCACAGTTTCATATTTATGTGACTTCAAAAGATGTCCTTCAATGTAGTATATTTTGCATCCAGTTGTCTGTGTTGTTACAGGGCTTCTGTGTGTCATGCCTCTTCTGTTTTGCCAACATGGATGTCCACTACGCTATGTTGCCACTGCTGAAGCAACTTTTTGGATCATGTTTTGAGGGTGAGAATGCCATCACAGTGCAGAGGGCGAACACACTAACACACAGCACAAGGGATTTATGTGTCTGACCATGCTTCAGGATGCACAGAGAACTTGATCTAAACACCTGGGATACAAAGATGTTCTCACCAAACCAGATGTCAGCATTCAGCTGACTGCAGTTTGATTATGGTACTCAACCCAAAAACACTGTCACTGCACAATACTGTGCAGTCAGTGTACCAACACACTGAAGCTCATCACTGCAACAAGAGACCAAAAACAGAACACAACCTGAACCAGTTCCATATTGTCACCAATTTCCTGAAGTTCCATTTTAATTTTATATTTCCAGCTACATCTTGGTCCCCATACATGACCTCAGTGCAGGATGCTGACCAAACGTTTTTATTGTAAAAAACATGTCTGGCATAACTAAATGTCTTTTTTAAACGACTTCAACCTTTACTGGCCATGTGTCAGAACTGTCATGTGCATGTGTACAGCCCAGCAGACCTAGTGTCACACTTTTGCAATATGAATGCATCAAACTAAAATCTGGTCACCACCACCACAGAAGTGGGGAATGTAAATCCCAGTTACATATGACAAAGACATATATTATGCATGTATGTAGCTACAAAACTATTATAATAAAGGTTACTGTGTGATTCTCCCCCAGCCCCTCTTACCTGTGGTTTCTCAAATAAACATATACACTCTGGACAAAATACAAATTTTCACAAAAATATAAATCAATAGGTAAAGGTAAAGTTTCTCCTGTGCTCAGCTAATTAAGTGCTACGCCATGAAGATGTATGGGGAAGTGGATGTATAGATTCACACTTTCTTGACCTTGGCACTAGTTGGAGATGAGTGGTCAGTTTTACCCCCAGGGAAAGAGCTCCCAGTAACCATTGGATAGGATGTTGGGTGGGTCCCAGAGTCATTCTGGACAGTGTGGGGAATAGAAAATTCTTGACCCTACCAAGACTCAAAACTCCGACTCCTTGGCCGTCAAGCCCATAGCCAAACGACTGAGCTATCCTGGCTCCTATAAATCAAGAGGTACAAGTACAATGTCACAAGGGAAGCATGCATGTCACTGTATTGCCCTTCAGCACTCATGTAACATCACCTAACGCAATTTGAAATAGTTCCTTAGTGAACAATATGTACAGCAGTTTCTGATGACTTATGACATTAAATTACTGGCATACCATCGATTAATGAACTCTTCCCTCATTAGCCAACAAGATTCTACCACTCTTTTTATATCAGTTATTATGACTTTCATGCGCTCCAACTGTGTGTCATTAAGCATGTCGGTAAGAGGGATATTTGGAAAGTAGCTTCCATTTATTTTATGCAACTAATGTAGGAGCGAGGCCGGTCACGGGAGCCGAGCGGTCTAAGACATGCAATGTCTTCGCTCACTTGGAAGCCGGGATTGTGGGTTTGAATCCCACTCAGGGCATGGATGTTTGTGTACAGGTAGAGGCCTTGCAATGAGCTGATCATCCGCCCAAGGAGTCCTACTGTATGTGTAAGATCTAGAAAAACTGAAGTGAACAGAGAAGTACATGGAGATAGGCCTAGGCCCACTGGGGCTGTAGTGCCAAGAAAAAAAAAATGTAGGAGCGAGAGAGAGCTCACACATACCAGGTAGCATCACATGACCCACTGCCTTGCAAACCACGACACAACCAGTCATCCAATTTTTTCTTGTCTCTACAGAGTGAGTTATGATTCGTCTGCGATTGATAATCCCACCAGCTGCAAAATTTGTGCTGTTATCTGTTTTCCTCCCATTAAAACATGAATGCTGCAGAAATCTATCATTAATTATACTCAGTTTATAGTTAAATGTAATAAGTGAAGGAACTGTAAAACAATAGTGTAGTGTGTTCAAAGGTGGGAGAATAAATGTTCACAATGAAGGGCGAACTGGTAGGCCAGACTTCTGTAATGAGTGATGATCTTTTCCAAAATGATGACCATAAAATTTCAGAACTTTTGTGTGAGTCCAGCTGTGAGCCCTGAGATGACATAATGACAAGCACCCTGGACGTCTGATAAGCCTGCATAATGAAATCTCGGTATATGTGCATATAGAAATATTCTTTCCAATAACATTCAACTGCTACTTCTCCACGATACAAAGCAATACACATGGTTCCAGTGGCTCCTGACCTTAGATGTCTGATTGGGGCAATACATGCACCAACTGCACAAATTATAACAGTCCCAAGCCAACACAAGTTTTGTTGATACAATCAATGGGAATGCAAGAGTTCATAACTTTTCAACCCAGAGGATTACTTCCTGATAAATGTGTGTACAGTTATTTCCTTTTTACTAGTAATTGTAATCACATGCAGGCTGCAAAACTAGAAATAAGAAATGGTACCTTTCAACATACCATGTATAAGTATGTCTGTAATGTACAAAAAAGGGAAATAGATTCGTAATTTCACAGCTTAGGGACAAAGTAATTGTAGCTTTTAGTTTTACAACTGCAATGACTGCTGCCTGTCCTTCACAGACTTAAGTCCCCTGTAGTGAGAAGATGACAGGAAAACAGGCACCATATGTTCATGGCTTTGAAAATGTTCTCAGCAGACTAACAGAGAGCATGAACCAATAGTCATTTGTCAAACATTGGCCTGTCAAGAAAACACTGACTTCTGTAATTTGCATTACATGGCTTCACTTCTACTGAAAGGGGAAAAGTAACGTTGTTCCTGCGTTTAATTAAACAACACACCATGAAGCTGTATGGAGGAGTGGAGATATAGCTCCACACATTCTTAACCTCAGCAGACACAGGTAAGTCATGTCCTGACCAGTTTACTCTCAGGGAAAGAGCACCCAGCACCTGCTGGACAGCAGGCCAGGTGGGCCACAGAGCCAGTCTGGACACTGGAGAAAATAAATCTCTTTTCCCTGCTGGGAATTGAACCTCTATACCTCAGTTGTTCTGGCCATAACATGATCACTGAGGTGCTCCGGCACATACTTCTCCAATTTAAAGTGACAGATAATAGAACATTAAAATAAAAGTTAAAACTGTGTAAACTGATGGAAGTGACATTTCTTTGTGGAGGTGAAATAAGAACGCATAAAATAATTCATAACTTCAGCTATCAGTAGCTCCAGCCCACAACTTTGTTCAGACATGCAAGTTCAGTTTCAAAGCAGTAAACTCCAGAGGAATCTGAACGCCTTTTTAGCCCATTTTCCTTATTTCTCAAAAATAAAAGTAGGCATATGAGATCACCTTCTTGTGTGTCTGTATATGAATCCCCCTTTGACAAACTTTGAATGCCTCAAGCAATCTTTATGAAACTTGGTATGTATATAATAGCACATGAGTCCATCTCAATGGCTTGTTTCATAAACCTCTGCCCTCAGTAACTTCATCATTACAGCCTATCAAACTACTGAGGCAAAACCTTAATATTGCTTGAATGCCTGTACCAATCTTCATGAAACTTCATACATGTATCATGCCACTTAAGGCCATCTCAAGGGCATACTCACTCTTGTCAATAATACAAACACCATAGCCTCTTAGACTGTTATGATAATACCCTTAACATATTGATAAGCCTGAACCGATTGTCATGAGACTTGGTATGCATATCATGACACCTGAGGCCATGCCAATGCTATAGTTCATATATCCCTCCCATCATTATTACGAACACCGCAGCCTCTCAAATTGTTATAGTAATAACCTTAATATTCCCTCAATGCCTCAACCAATATTCATGAAACATAGCAGGTATATCATGCCATCTGGGGCCAACTGAACAACGTACTTTGTAACATACATACACTCAACTCTCGATTATCCGGGGGCGGATAAATCGGTTTGTGGCTTAACCGGGGCTTTTTTGAGGCTTATATGTTATTTAATATTCATTCACTTCTGTTTCACATGGTGAGTTGTAACACTATTTTCGCACTAGTGTGAACCGAGCTCTGCATTTTTTGGTCCCGTTATGCTAACACAATGTTCTAGGGTAGGGGTGAAAGAATGCAAGGATTTGTGGAAAGTTTCAAGGACAGATACACCACCCCAGTTAGTTTCTTCGTATCGATCTTCAAGTGTGTTAGCAAAATGTCAGGGTGTAAAAGGAAGTGTGTTGTGTTAAGTATTCAACAGAAAAAGGAAAATGCCATGAAAAAGTAAACGACAATATTAAATTTTTTTAAGTGTTAAGTGTGAATATTCGTAAAAAGTGTTGGATGTTGTTCAAGACTGTGATTGAAATAACTAATTCATACTTCAATAGGCCATGAGATGACATAAAAATGAGGTTGAATACATTTAAATACAGGTAGACCTATAGTATTATGAAGGTACAGTATTACAGTACTACTTTTAATAAAATTTGTCTTAACCGGGTTTTCGATTGATCGTGATTTCCATCCCCACCATTATCCTGGATAATCGAGAGTTGAGTGTATACTGCAATTTCTTTCCACTTGTACTATCAAATACTCAAACTGTAGTGAAAGGAAACTAGTTGATTAGTTCTCCCAGGAACTTCTTGTTATAAGCACGGGCCATGTTTACGTTTGGATGGCTCAGGAGTTGCCTGTTTCGGTCTGGTACCCTCCCCTTCTCCCCCCCCCCATGGCATGCATCTGTGTCCTCACTTGTCGACCGTTATCCCAGAATTCCACATACCACGTGATTTCCCTTTTCACCCTTGTTTAGAAAGGAAGACTTCCATCAATGTCAGGAGATTTTAGAGTGCAGCCTTTGCTTTCCAGTGGTTGGGCAAAGTAGGTCGCTAAATTGTGTTCGGATTCTTCGCTCCAGCCGTTGAGGGAAAGGGCCCTCCTTGTTGCAACAGTATGTAAGTTATTTTTATTTGAGGATGTTGTAAAGAGTTTTGTTTGACAATATATGTATTATTATTTGTTTGGGCTCCCTACTGCCCCATTTATTGTTGTTGTATGGCTAGATAATGGGTTATATTGTGCTTTGGGTTGCCTTGCAATGTTACGTAAGTTTGGTCATTTTCTAGGTCTGGGGTAAATAGACCCATGTGGCTACCTTATGTATATTTTTATTTTACTGTGATTCAGTCAGGACTGATCAAAGTGACTGATGACATATATTCATATGCATATTGGAGGTTCTCAGAGCAGTGGTTATGAAGAGTTCTATCTTCTGCGATATAATGCCATGCTGTCCACTGAAAATCAACAGATGTTTTGGAGGAACATGTTATCTCCATATTCAGGGTCAAAGAATAAGCCCAAGCAAGAAACCAGCATGACACAGTTAGCCATATAATCATTTGCGGATAACATAAATCAGTGTCAAACCCATTTTGAGCCTGTACCTTCTGTGTAGTTATTATCATGTGATAATACTGCGGCATATAGTCCTGTTGCTTGGCAACAACCATGAAAGAATGAGATAATGACCACTGCTAGGCAACAGCTTCATAAATATTCAACAGTATTGGAGCCACTGCTACACAGTGGCCTGCATACAACAATGGAAGTAATGTTAGAAGCGGTGTTTTGTATGAGTCCACTCTGAGGCTATATCACTCAACTGAATGAGTTGAGGTAGTTAGTGCAGTGCAGTGCAGTGAAGTGAAGTGAAGTGAAGTGCAGTGCAGTGCAGTGCAGTGCAGTAGAGTGCAGGGCAGGGCAGGGCAGTGCAGTGGAATGGAGCAAGTTGGTTGGTGAGTGAGTGAGTTAGAGGGCTGCTGCAGTTCAGTCCTTGTGAGTTGTTGCGGCTAGATGTTGGTAGCTGATGCATGGGGATATTTAGGGAACACAGAGGAAGGGGAATGTCTGCTGTTCGAAGCCATTACCAGACAGCAACTGGTGAAGACACAGCAGACTGAGAAGACTTACGAGGTGCCACAGTGAACTGCTGAATGTGTGAATTAGTGACAGTGCTATAGTTACATGTTGTCACAATCTGAAAGTGTTCAATAAATCCAATTACCAATCCAAACCCCATCTAGTCACACATACACATGACAATATAATACACTAGCAAATGTGTGGCTTTTAAAAAGTCTGACAGTAAACACAAAATCTCTGCTGATGGAAATAATGGCTGAGAAGAAAATCATGCTTCCAGGTACATTCTCTGTAATATAAATCACCATGTGAATTTGCTTCCAGAAACGTACCTTCAATTTTTCACTTTCCAAGCATGCGTTTATTGCCTACAGTAGTGTTAATGAAGATTGGCCAATCAGAAACACTTCACACCTTCTTCTAGATAAGAAACTAACTGCAAAGAAGACCCACAGGAGAGTAAGAGGCAAAAGCAAAACTCAGGCAAGCTGATTCTTTAAGAGAACCAGATAGTGAAATGCGAAAATAGAAGAACCCATAAAATAAAAATCCAGACTAGAAAATAACAGTGTACAACATCACGCCAACCAATTCCAAACAAGACAACCACTTCATAAGAGAACAGAAATAAGAACTAAATTATAACCAAAACAATGTACGTAAATTACCACGTAATATAACATCATGACTGCAATGATAAATATTAATATGTAACAATACATGAGATGTCTTAACTCAGTATCTTAAGAATATTTTATAATCTTAAACCTTTGTAATTTATTATTATATTATGTATATTTTATACTATTGTATGAACATCTGTAATCATCAATTAACATAAAGATTTAATTCTGGTTGAATGGATATATAGGAGCAGTAATGGTTTTAATCTTGATGAAGTGCTGAAAATCTGATGCATTAGTAACAACTGTAACACTGCGACATATACNTAGGGTGTAAATAAATATGTGTCATGATGCTCTGTGGTAGACAGAGGGGTTCAATCTGATCATATTTTGTTAATGCATTCATGTCCAGAAATGCTTGTTTTACACACTAGGGCCTCTGAAATGTGGAGGACACCCTCACCTCTTACCTATGTGGCTTACTGGTGACATTTACCTAATATTTCTCCAAGAGACCTTACCCGAGATGCTGGAAGTGGTGCCTTTGGAAGTCTGTCATGAAATGTGGTTCCAGCATGATGGCGCCCCACCACACTGCACTAATGTTGTCCATGAGTATTTGGATGAAACCTTCGGCAACAGATGCACTGGACATGGAGGAGGCCCAATAACCTGGCCTCCTTGCTCCCCTCGACTCCATTGGATTTCATTCTCTGGGGGTATATGTAAATGCTCCTGGTGTACAAGACTCCAGTGGAGACATAACATGATCTTGTGGGAAGAACTGCAGTGGCAGCTGGAACCATCCGGGAAATGCCAGGAATCTTTCAAAGAGTTTAGCATAACGTAGCCAGGCAGTACAGAACATGCAATTAAGTTGACAGCTGCCATTTTGGGCAATTTTTATAATGTAAAACAACGATAACATCCCCTAAAACTTAAGAGTCCTCTCAGAAACTTTTGTAACCCTTAGTGCCAAAGGGAAGTGTTTCTGGGCATGGGTGTATTAACAAAATATGATCAGATTGAATCCATCTATCTACCACAGAGCGTTGTAACATATATTTATTTACACTTTAATTGCAGACTGTGAAACACCATGAAAGGAAATTCCAACACCAAAATTCAATATATTACAATGTATACAAATTAGAGAAATGGATGGAAGGGGAAGGCTGTCACTCTCTGACATAACTTCTGGGAAATTAACACATCTCAAGAGAACAAACTGGCTTTTAATGATGATGTAACACAGAACATCCCATCAAAAACAAAGATTTAAGTTAAGAAAAATTGTAAGAATGGCAACTGTACACAACTTTTCGGAACAAATCTGAATGTAATATAAACTCACATTTAACTGAGCACATCTTAGAACATGTTACGTAACAAGACTTGCGACAGAATAATAATTTTCACTTATGTACAGTCACATGTGGTTCATGTGACTCCAACACAGACCAGTGTGTTGGACTGTGAATACTGAACAGAGAGAAGACTGATGCACTCCGTAGTGTATGCTGCAATTAGGTCAGATGAATAGCTCACGCTGAAACAGACCAATGAACAGACACCTTAAATGATTACTGGGAACTGTGTACAACTGCAAGATACAGCATAAATTTTCACTGAATAAAAACCAAGAGACAGAATTAACCTCAGTGGTTTTGGCATACTGAACTAGTATGTAATTTCAGCTTTAACTCAGAGATAATGGTGATGTTCAGTCTCCGGTTATATCTTAAAATGCATCAGTAACACACTCTGTGGTACTACTATTATTGGTTCATGCTGGTGGCACTGAAATATTATTTTATTTACATCAGTTGTTTATTTTTAGAGAACTGATCACAGACCCAATGTATTTCCTTGTACATTCAACTCTTATTATACATAATGGGTTGTGTTCCTGAAAACTGTGTAAGAACATGAAACACAGTGGACAAGGAAAACATCACAAGAGAGTGAGAATGGTGGGGTGAGTTAGGGACACTGCCACAACTCACTGGACATGTGTGGCAGCTTCTACCATGGCCAAGCACAGGACACTGACATTCATACAACAGGAGCCACATTTACCTGCTGAAAATCTCAACCACAATAGGCAAAGGAAAAATAATACCATTTCATGTTTTAATGCTGTTCTGTGCACCTGCTATGAAGTCTCTGCTGTAAATCCATCTTCCTTTCTCTGCAAGTGATAAGTACCTCACCTTGATAAGCTGCCAGGGCGTGAGCGTATATTCCACACCCGAACAGCGCCATCCAAGCCACATGAAGCCACACACTCGCTGTCACGACTCCATGACAGTCCTGACACTGTATGGGTGTGCCCCTTCAGCTCCAGTAGCATCGTGCCTGCCGCCAGGTCCCAGACTCTCACTCGTTTGTCTTCTCCTAAACTCGCATCCAAGATAAAGAAGTACATAACACCACTCTCCTTACAATACTACACTAAGCAGTAACATCTAATTCAAGGCTGTGCCACAGCTCAGGTGGTTAGTCTCCAGCTTCTCACCATGGCAGATCAGGTTCGATCCCAGGTCAGATCATGTGGGATTTGTGGTGGACAAAGTGGCACTGGGGCAGGTTTTCTCTGAGTACTTCACTTTCCCTTGACAATTCTCATTCCACCAAATTCTCCTTATTCAATTATCATCCAGGGCTGGTACAATAGGCCAATTAGTGACCGATGCACCAAGTGGATTCAGTCTCACCCCCTTACTTACTTACTTACTCATGGAGCTGAGCCCTTCTGGAGGAGCTGCCAATTCTGCAGCTACTCAAGAATTTCCCAGCATTTTATGGAACTCGAAGGTTAATTACCCTGGCCCTCCACTGGTCCCTATCCTGAGTCAGATCAATCCAATCCTTACCATCCCATCCTATCTCTCTAAAATCCATTTTAATATTGTCCACCCACCTATGTCTTGGTTCCCCATGGTCTCTTTCCTTCCGGCTTTCCCACCAATGTCCTACATGCATTCCTCGTCTCCCCCATTCGTGCTACATGCCCTGCCCACTTAATCCTCCTTGACTTGATCATTCTAATTATACTTGGAGAAGAGTACAAGTTATGAAGCTCCTCACTGTTCAGTTTTCTCCAACCTCCTGTCACTTCATCTCTCTTTGGTCCGAATATTCTCCTCAACACCCTGTTCTCAAGCACCCTCAGTCTAGGTTCCTCCCTTAATGTCAGAGACAAAGTTTCACACCCATACAGAACCAGAGGCAAAATAATAGTTTTGTATTGTGACGCATTGCGCTATGGAGGACATCCCCTCCCCCACCAGCAGTGACGTGGCAGCATCAGAGCGCTATCGCTACTATGGTAACAGGCCAGTCAACACTCTGCCCCCTCCACCACGGTGACGTGGCAGAGGAGTGGCTGTGTCAGGCAACCATTGCCGCAGTGACATGGCGGGGGATGCCAGGGTTACTGCACAGCAGGAAACAACTCTAGACAGCATTGCCCAGCAACACCTGTAAACAGGTGACATAGCAACAGGGAAGCAAGGCGCTTTCCGTTGTCTGGCTGAGGGTTTATAAGAGAACTGCACTGCCTAAGGAGTCAGTTGAATTGGAACAGTCGCCAGGTTCAGTTGTAGCGAGCGAATCGTGAACGTGAAGAATACCGATAGTGTGAGAAGTTATCGGGAGTTTGTAATACAGTGACACTGGTATACCTCCCGTGTTATAAGTACTTGAAGACTACTGAGGATGGAATGAATTGATTAGTGTGTAGGGTTTGTAAATTGTGTAATCCCGTAACAGTGTCATAATTAATTGTAGCTACGACTTGTAGGTTGTTAAATAAACCAATTAACAATCTGAACGGCGTCTTCAGTAGCAAGACACGTTACAGTATATTCTAATTTTTATGTTTCTGGACAGCAGATAAGAAGACAAAAGGTTCTGGACTGAATGGTAGCAAGCATTACCCGAGTTCAATCTCCTCTCAATTTCCTCCTGAATCAGGTTGCGATCTGTTATCGTTGTTCCCTAATATCTGAATTGTGCCACATTTTCAAAACATCTGTTTCCTATCTCACCCCTTTGTCAAAGAAAACATATAATTCACTGCAATTTTTAATTAGTGTTATTTTCTTAACCCCTTCACTGCTAAGCACCACAAAAGAACTACCTACTAGAAATGCAAGGCTACATGGAGACAAATTCAGTTGTCAAAAAGGAAAAAAACTTTCCTTACATGACCATCGAAGACCAGCAAGTATATACTGTGGCATATAGACCTGTTGCTAAGGGGAGAGAGAGAGAGAAAACGAGATGACAGCTGTTACTAGACGGGAGCCAGCACACCAGTGGATTGGCTGAATAGTGATCACATGGGAACCCCAACAGACATGCATGCAACATCAGAGGAACAGTGTTTTCGGTTGGTCTATGCCAAGAGGTTAGAACCAGGACAGTTAGTTGAGAGATGAATTAGTCAGTCTATGAAGAGAAGACTAGGAGGTTCGTGTGAGAAGGCTTCCAGCCTGGGAGTTAGTCAAATGAGTGTCAGGCAGTGAAGATAACACTAGGAATTTGGTACAAAATAGTCACGTGTTAGCTGCAAGACTGCTCAGTTGAAAGTCCGGCTGTGAAGAGAAGACTTTATGTGTGATATTTGGAGTATGTAATTCAGTGAGAATATATTAGTTCCTGTGCTAAAATCCATTGCCAGGAAACGGCTAGTGGAGACTATAACAGACTGAGGACACTAGTCTGTGTGTCAGTGGTCTGTAAAGTGTAGTCACGGGTCGTGAGTGTATCAGTGATTAATAAATTGAGTCCCCAGTCCAAACCCTGTCTAATAGTGCCACTCATACATATATATATTGTAGCGTGTTTCCATAGAAGTGACTCTTCCGGATTCCCGACACGTTGCAATATATATGAGACAATACAAAGTGGAAGCCTGTTCCTCTACACATCAGTATCTTACACATGATGTGATCTATTGAGAGAAATGCTACACTATTTAGCAATGAGCTGGTTTCTTCAGCTGTGGCGGTTCTGACACAAGCAACGTTCAAAGAGCTGAACTGCACACATGGCCTACTGAAAATGTATTATATATTTACACATTCTGTATAGCAATGCAACTGGAAGGAGCACCTTATTGGGGTGAAAATAGGGTGTCTATAAGGGACATGCAAACTGAAACAATCTCAAACCTTACTACAAATATAATTTCAAGTTCTGAAGTTTCTATTCACCTTTAATACATGAAATATTAAATTATAAGCAAACACTAAACTCCTTACAGTCAGACTCTGGTAGTGCATATGCTGGGTACCTTACACACAACTTTTATATTCTAAAATGAAGGAAGCACCCACATGAGGCAATGATACTTCTGTCAAATGTTAAAGTGTGTTCTTGAGAAATTATTTCTGTCACATTCAACATTTAAAATACCATTACATATGAAGGGGGACCCAAAAATAACCGGAAACGACCTGTTGCGCGCGCATGCTTTGTAGTTACGAGTTGTGCTGCTAGGTGGTGTTAGCTGGGGGTCTCCCGCGACTGTTAGTGAGCTGGCGTCAGTCTGAGTTAAGTGGTTTGTCTGTGGTGCTCTGTTGTGTGCGTTCCTGTTTCAACCCTTTGGCGATTAGTGAGAAGAGAAACAGTCTTACAAATATTATGTTTCTGGACATTATCCACCGTCCTGTTTTTATCTAAAAACACCGCCCTGTTTATATTTCAAAACACAATGTTTCAGTGACTGGATTCTGTCTTCCTCTTCAGGCGAAATCTACTCAGTTGGGCCCAATCAATAGAGCTAGTCTCTATCTCAAGATCTAACTGAGTAGATTTTACCTGAAGACGGAGACAGAATCTAGTCTCTGAAACGTTGTTTTGAAATATAAACAGGGCGGTGTTTTTAGATAAAAACAGGACGGTGGATAATGTCCAGAAACATAATATTTGTAAGACTGTTTCTCTCCTTGAGGTCTCACTACACTGTTCACTTGCTATTTGTGTGGAAGGAACAGACAGGTGTTTGTGAGGGACAAAGCTGTATTTATGTTGGATTTACCACCACCATGTTTGAATATCACTTCTTCATGAATCTGATGGTTTGCCAAGAATGAACTAAATAAAGTTGATGTGTGAGAATTTGAAATTTTAAATATCTTGAGGGTAGTTTTTCTAAAAGGAACTTCTCTGAGGGCCTTCCACAGTGATATGCTTGTGCATGGCAAGAGAACAGCTGCTAATAGAAAACCATCTTCAATTCTGTCAGTTCTGAGGTTCCCCTGGCTTTGACTATGACGAGTGTGGCCACCTTTACACAGTTCAAGATAATCATCTTCATAGTATGAGTGTCATGGCCTTCTTGGAAGCAACTCTGAAGTAACAAATGAAAATGGAATTAAGAGGAAAGAAGTTACAATAAGTGAGAAAGTGAAAATTATTCAGGAAGTGGAAAAGAATCCAACTGTGTTGTAAAATGAAATTTCAAAGCATTTTATGTTACCTTCATCATCACCAAGCAATACAACTTCAGCAAGAACTTCAGTTGTTGAAGAGGAAAGTTGGTGTGGGTCAGATTCTGAGGGAGGAAGAAAGTTCACAAAATGAAGAGCTCAGAACCTTGTTAGTGCAGTGGTTCCAACTGATGAGGTGTGAATTTGAAATCTTTAATAAGAGTGTGTTAAGTTTGTTATGTAATACAGCACTTCTTTGAACTGCACATTTGTAAAACCTGAAAATTTTTGTTCCTTTAAGAAATATTTATATTGGTAATTAATTTTATTTTACTAAATAAACAAGGTTCAGTGCCTTATTGCTTTATTTTTTATTTAACTAAGTCTAATGTCCTTTTTTGACTGTTTTTATTTTTCAGAAACCCCATTTGAGATACAAGAAGCCTGTCTCCCAGAAAAATCAGGGTTTCACTGCACGTGGGTCAGGTGACCAATTTTCTGGATGATGTACAGCACTAACAACACTGGCATATGTCTAAACAAACATATACAATCTAATGGAACTGGCAAATATTTTTTGAACTTCCAGTTTAGCAGTATCTGTGGGGTTGACCCCATGTGAAACATATGTGGTCACCTAGGAGCTCACTTTACTCTTCAAGAGCTGGAATAGCGCAGTCAGCATAGTGACTGGCTATGGGCTGGATGACTGAGGGGTCTGAGTTTGAGTCCTAATAGGGTCAAGAATTTTCACTTCTCCATCTTATGCAGACTGGCTCTGTGGCAGACCCAGCCTCCTATACAATGGGTACCACAAGCTCTTTGCCAATGGGTAAAGAAGTCATGGTGTGAAGCTGATCATTCACCTCCAACCAGTGTCAAGGTTAAGAAAACGCGTGTCTATACATTGCACTTCCCCTTATGTCTTTTATGGTACAGTGCTTAATTAGTTAAGCACATGGACAACTTTACCTTTACCTTACATTACAGTTTACTTTTTAAACCTGAAGATGGAAGCAGTAAGTTCCTCCTGATAACCTCCTACCAGTCTACACAGCGTCACAGAAGACAAGACACACTTTGGTGAAAAAAACAATGGACTACTAGTGGGTATAAGGA